TACGAATGAAAGTGAATGAAATATTATTTTCCATTAATTTTCTATTGGCTTCAAAAATAATTGACTCACAACTTGTTTTTGTAGTAGGGTCTCCCCTAGCCTAGCCCAATCATTCATTCCCCATCTCATCACAGCGTCGCGAGGGGCGAGACGACTTCATCCCCACGGCGATCTCCAACTCCTACACTGGCCCCATCGCCTCCACAACGATCTCCAACTCCTACACCGGCCCCACCGCCTCCACAACGATCTCCAACGCCTCCACGCTGGTCTCCAACACCGGCCTCATCGCCTCCACGCCAGTCTCCAACACCGCCCCCACCCCCTCCACAGCGACGCACTACAAAGACGTCTAAGGTCCCGGCGGCAAAGAAGACTCCGAAAAAAAGAGTTATTTCTCAAGAAATACTTCCTGAAAAGACTGATGAGCAAATAGCAGCTGAAGAAGACAAAAAAGTGAAAGATTTTTTTTATAGATATCAAAAAGCAAAGACAAGCGAAGCTTAAGGAGAAGCCGTACTTTTACATACCACGAGATCTGCTGAGGCAGAAGGTCGAAGATCACAAGAAAATGATGCTTGAACTTCGTAAGCCTCCGCCACTATCAGACTATGACCGCTCCCTCATGAAGTCACATGATGCAGATAAGAAAAGGAAAAGAGCATCAGGGAAGGATGTCACACAGCTCGGACAACAGAAGCAACCAATGCAAAATCTTGTTGTTGCTAATGAATATGGTTCTAACATAGAAATCTATCGACCAGACAACTCTGGAGAAGTGTCGGTTCAAGACCTTAATGCTTTTTTTAAAGATACTGGTTTAACCTTGGATCAATTGACGAGCAAAGCTCCAATCCAGAACCTAAAAGTTGATACTTGGAAGACTTATAAATTTGGCAAAAGTCTGTACAACCCTGCGGCTCTGAATGAATTGGGTACGTAAATGTACTTGCTCAACAAGTGGTACATGCAGGCGTGTGGCAGGGGTGAGGAGTGGATCTTTGTCAGATTTAGAGACCATCATTACTTCTGTGGCGATGACATCTTACATATTAGTTTCGAAGAATTGCATCTACTATACCACATGGACGCTCTGGACAAATCAATCATTAGCTCCTTTTGTTTGTAAGTGATTCTTACTTTTATTTAATAAACTCACTTCCATACGTACGTGTATATAATTATCCTCACATGTAACTTATATTTATATACAGATTCCAGATGTCAGAGCTCTAAAGAATACAAGACACCAGTGTTGGCTTCATTGATCCTTATATCGTATTTAAAACCGATATTATTGCCAAGGAGCATTGGGTATCTAAAGCACAGAAGAATATCATGAGGTTCTTCATGAAGCAGCACGACAAGACAACAATACCTTTCCCGTACAGCTTTGAGTAAGTGTTAATAATAATGTAGTCTACACATTTTATGTAATATCAATACAACTTATATGTATGTACATGTGTGTATAAACCAATACAGGTTTCACTAGATACTCATTGTCATTGAGTTAAACTCAAGTCGGTTAGTAATCTTGGACTCGTTGAGAAAAGAGCGGGCACTATACCAAGATATGATAGACATTATCCAGGGGTAATTTCGATCTCTCGCGCACAACTATTATTGAATAGACTTTGCCATAATTTATTAACGATCATACATTATTGGTCGCACAGGGTTTGGAAAGAGTTTATTCGGCAACACCGTAAGGATTGCAAGGCATCACTTAATGTAGTTGAAATACCAGTAAGTTGTACTATATATACTTCCCTACGTGTTTAATTACTATATCGTACTTCAATTTACGTGTGAGATGATGAGAATAATCTTCTTCTCATACAGTGGTGTTTGCGGCAGCAACCAGGTAATAACTTATGTGCATACTATGTTTGTGAATTTATCACTGCGCACATAAGAACTCCTAAAGATATCCTCAGAGTACGTATATATCAATTTTTTATTTATTTTTAAATGAATATATATATATATGTATTAATACTTTTCCTTTTATTTCAAATGCAAGACTGGATGGTTGAAACAAAGGGTCATGCAAAAAGACCATCTGAAAGCAGTTCAAGAGTCAATAGCAGGATTTCTTCTAGAAAAAGTGCTAAATCCCAACGGTGAGTTCTACTTTGATTTTAAGGAATAAATGATGTAAATTAAATGTTTATTGATATCGTTATTTTCGAGAACAAGATTATGAAAGTGTTGTATATATACATATATATATATATATAATATATATAGTTTCATACTTTATTCGAATATAATAATGCTCGAGATGAGAATTAGATGTAATTATATATATACGTGCGTGTATTTATATTAGCACCGTAGAATACGTACGTAAAAACATATTATATATTAAACAAATATGTGTAACTGAACTAAAAACAAATTAAACAAAAAAAAAAGAAAAAAAAAAGGAACCTTTAGTCCCGGTTGGGGTTACCAACCGGGACTAAAGGGTGCGGCCATGTTTGCTCGGCTTGAGGGCCTTTAGTCCCGGTTGATAAGACCATCACCAACCTCTTTAGTCCCGGCTCGATGACCCGGAGCTGAAGGTTCCACCTTTAGTCTCGGGATCGTTGTCCCGGCACGGTAACCGGGACTAAAGGCCGTTACCGCCCGGGACCACGAGGCCATCCTGTAGTAGTGCATTAACTTGCAGTCGTCTGAATCATCTGGGTTGGCATGGTCGCTAGCAGCAGTTTATGGACCGGTGCTTGATGCCCTCAAGCCAAATTTCTTGGCCGAGCTCAGATTAGTACAGGAGAACTCCACTGGCGTGCTCTTGATTTGTGGAGACTTCAATCTGATTTATCAAGCTGCTGACAACAATAAGGACCGCCTAAACCAAGCCTCCATGCACCGCTTCCGTAGGGCCTTGGATGCTATGGGCGTTGAGGAGCTATACGTTCACGGCAGGTTATACACTTGGAGTAATGGGCGCCGCCTGCCCACCATGGAGAGAATTGACCGGGCATTTGCAATAGTGCAGTGGCTAGAGGAATTCGCCGATCACCGTTGCGGACGCTATCCTCGGACTCCTCTGACCATGCCCCGCTTCTCTTGCAGCTGCGGACTGAACCATGGGCCACGCCGAGGTTCCATTTTGAGGCATTCTGGGTTCGCCGCGATGGCTTTGACGATGTCATGAAAGAAGCATGGGAGCCCACGCCGCAGAACGTCGATGCGTGCCGTGTGCTTGATATCAAGCTCAGGCGAATGGCGAAAGCCCTTAAGAGCTAGAGCATGAGGAATGTGGGGAGTGTGCGGCTATAGCTCTTCATGGCTAGGGAGCTAATTGCGCAACTAGATGCTACGCAAGAGTAAAGGTCGCTAACTGATGAAGAGTGGTCCATGCGGACGAATCTTAAGCGTCGATCGCTCGGATTGGCATCCCTGGCCTGAACCATCGCGCGACACCATGCTTGCATACGCTACCTGGAAGATGGTGACGCCAACACCAAGTTCTTCCACCTCCAAGCCTGCCACCGAAGTCGGAAGAACTACATTCCGTCGCTCCAGCACAAGGGCACCTGGTTCTCGGTGGAAGAGGCGAAGGCAGACCTAATATTCACCTATTACAATGGAATCCTAGGCACACCTTTCCAGTGTTAGCACTCCATCCACCTTGATGATCTTCTCCCTCAGTTAGACATGTTAGGCATTGACGCCTACTTCTTTACGGAGGAGATTTAGGCCACGGTGAAGGACCTACCGATGGACCGCGCTCCTGGCCCGGATGGTTTCCCCGGTCTTTTCTACAAGGTAGCCTAGGGCGTCATCAAGCATGATGTGATCGATGTGTTCAATGCGCTTTGGTCCCTAGACGCCAGGAGCTTCCACCTGTTGAATGATGCGCTGATGATCTTGCTACGCAAAAATCTAGCACCCACTCGGCTAAAGGATTATAGACCCATCAGCTTGATGCACAACTTCAGCATTGCGAAATGCCTAGCCAGGCGCTTGGCGCCCAGACTGCTGGAGATCGTAGTGCCAAACCAAAGTGCTTTTATAAAGCAACGGTCCATTCACGATAACTTCAGAGCTGTGCAACTAGCCTGACGCTGGCTACACTGCAAGAACTTCGCCGCGGTGCTACTGAAGATTGACATTGCCAAAGCATTTGATTCGGTTGCATGGCCCTTCCTAATCGAGGTTATGCAGCACATTATTTCCCCCGGAGATGGACTAATTGGATCTCCATTCTCCTAGTGACGGCCAGCACCAAGGTCATCAATGGCAGTGCGGGGAGAAGGATCACGCATGCGCGGGAGCTTAGGCAGGGCGACCCAACTATGCTATTTGTGATCGTCATCAAGGCACTTAATTCCCTAATCAGGGAGGCTGATCGCCGAGCGGCTCTAATGCCGCTGCCGGGTCGTGTCATCAAACATCGGGTGTCGCTATATGCTGATGATCTCATCCTTATCGCACCCAATGCTAATGACCTTCACTGTCTGCTGCAGATCCTGGACCTCTTCGCCGGTGCGTCCGGCCTCGTCACCAATGTTGATAAGTGTGTGGCCACCCCCATCCGCTGCTCCGAGGAGATGATGCTCGGGGTACAAGAGGTGTTCCCATGCGTGGTGACTCCATTCCCGTGCAAATACCTCGGCATCCCTCTGTCCCTCAGACGGCTCAAGCGCGCGGAAGAGCAAGCGCTTGTGGACGCAGTAGCTGCTAGGATCCCGACCTAGAAATCCGGTTTGCTCACTCAAGCGGGTCGAGTACTGCTGACCAAGGTCACTTTGTCGTCAATCCCAATACATATATGAGCATCGCTTGAAAGAGAATATAATTGGTGGAGATTGTGTTGTATTGCATTGGGCCTCATGGGCTGATTATATAGAGTACATAGGACTAACGCCTCACGTGGTTAGACAATGTGGTACTATTCCTAGTTACTCTAACATCCCCCGCAGTCACAGCGGGAGCGCTGCAGACGGTGAGACTGGAGAAGAAGCTGAAGCTAACATCCCCTGCAGTCATAACAGTCGATGCGGCGCATATGATGTGGCTGGAGAAGAAGCCGATGAGTCCTCATGCAAGGCGGTAGCCCTTTGTGCCGATGTCGAGGTAGCAGAGCGTGACGGCGCAATAGCCGTGGTCGAAGAAGCCGTGCTGAAGATGGCTGAGGTCGACGTAGTTGTGGTCGGATTACCATGTCGATGGAGCTGCAGGCGCGCGAGGGGCGCCATGATGATGACGGAGACGCGTCGAGGCAGTCGTCGTGGAAGGGGGGCGATGCCGAAGTCAATGCAGTCAAGGCCGTCGTTGACGTAGAAGAAATGCGACGACGCAATCGAGGCAGACGGGGTAGGAACGGGAGGGTCGATGCCGAAGTCGATGCAGTCAAGCCACCTGTGCGCCGAGGCGTGGGCTAGGTTTGCCAGTCCCAGCAACGCATCGGGGACAAAAGCACGCGTCGGTGTTGCCAATACCGGGCGTACAAGGTAGAGGGCCCCAACCACGGTGATGCTGTCGACGTGGTTGTGCTGGACGAAGAAGAAGCAGTGCGAGAGCAGACGCATCGGCGAGCAGGGCTCAGTGACGATGCGAGGGGTGCAACCGGCGAGCATGGCTCAGCGATGGCGCGGGTAGCGGCAGCTCGATGACGAAGACCCAATCAGCAGGACGAAGACCTTGTGCAGACGGATGGCGTAGCAAAGAGTGCGCAGTACAGTCGTCGATGCACAGGGGACGGTGACGTAGATGCAACGGCGAAGCAGACACACGGACGGCGGTGCTGCAGCCCGACGAGGCGACACGACAGCAAGCCAGTGGCCCTGTTGCTCGGAGAAGATGCGCATAGTACTCGGCGATGGACGTCACGGGAGCCAGGTGGATCGCGCATAATCGGTTGTACGGACCGAGTACGCGCGAGGTGGAGCGACATGGAAGAAGCCGGCGAAGGCGTCCCGATTAGTGGTGGTGATAACGAACCGACGATGTAGACATGCGGACGCGGGAAGGCGTCCCCTCGGCATCGCCTGCCTCCTAGTTACTCTAACATCGCTTGCTGCCTGTCCGCATGGGCTATTGATCAGATAGACAAGCGCAGGCGCGCGTTTCTTTGGGCAAGAACCGAGTCTAACCATGGCGGCAAATGCAAGGTTGCATGGACCACGGTGTCCAGGCCAACATGCTATGGTGGTCTCGGTATTCTTGATCTATGCTTCTTTGGATTTGCATTGCGCCTGCGTTGGGAATGGCTCAGCAGAACGGCGCCGGGAAGCTGTTGGGCCACCTTGCCGTTGTGAACGGAGAATGCTGTGGCCGCGATGGCCGCTGTAAGCATGTCGGTGATCTTGGGAGATGGGTGCTCCTCAAACTTGGGACCGATAACTGGTCGCATGTTGGGCCGCTGTGTCGCTTTGCTCAAGACCTATTCGCTGCCATCTCCAAGGTCGGGAAGAAGAGATTAGTCAAAGATGGACTCTTCCAGAACCGTCGGGAGAGAGAGATCGTGGGCTCCTCTGCCAATACTTGCTGGTCTGGGGGCTCCTGCGTGGTGTGGTGCTCGACTCGTTGCAGGCAGACCGTTTTGTTTGGAAATGGTCACCAAACGGTAAGTACTCAGCCTCTTCCTCTTACCGGGCCTTCTTCAACGGCTGCACGTCGCTGCTCGATGCGGCCGAGCTCTGGAAGACCAAGGCACCTCCACACGTCAAATTCTTCTTCTGGCTCGCGCTCCACCGTCGTTTGTGGACCGCGGAATGTTGCAAAAGACATGGCCTTCGGGACGACGATGGTTGTGCTCTCTGTGGTGAAGCGCCCGAGACCGGCGAACACATGTTCCTGGGCTGCATGATCGCCCGGGAGCTCTGGTTTTCCCCACTGGCACCGGTTGGACTATCCGCACTCGTTCCTGAAAATGCTGAAGACACCGCCTCATGGTGGCTAAGACTACGGCACAGGATCGACCCCTCCGCACGGCCGGCTTTCGACTCCTTGATGCTGCTGATCTGTTGGAGTCTACGGAAGAAGAGGAACAATCGAACATTTGCAAGATCCGCGATGGGATCGCTCGGGCTGTTCCGAGCGTTGGTAGCGGAGGCGGAGGACTGGGTTGCTACTGGTTTCACAACGCTCACCGCAGCGTGCACACTTTGGTCGCAAAACACAGGCGTCATGTAATCAATGAATTTGTAATCTAGTATCTAGGTGCCATCTATGCTCACAATGGACCCTTGCCATTCGTCCTGTTCGTTTGGGCTGGTTTGGCTTATAAGGCATGGCTGAAAGTATTGTTGGCTGATTTGTTGTGAGAAAAAAATAATGTTCGTTGGCTGATAAATCATGGCTTATAAGCCAAATACGACCAAGCGAATGTTGGATTTATTATGGGCTAGGCCCATTTATAAATTTAATAAATCAATAACTCTATGGCTTGTAATTGTGGGTATTACTATTTGTACCGGATTGGAAGTTAAAAGGACGTTGACTCAACTTAAATGATTGGAATTGATCCGTCTAATTTGAGAAGTTGAGAAACGGACAAAGCGTCTCACATGCAGCACAGCGCCTTGCCGCCCGCCGGCGGCGGGCGCGGGCTCGGCCCTCGGCGGGGCGGGGCGGGGCGGGCGGGCGGGCGGGCGTGGCGTGTTATCTTTTTAATACCCACTAACCACGGGAGTTTCAACTTGAAGCCAGTCTGACTCCTGATCTCCCGGAGTCTCTCCTCCGGGACCTCTCGGCTTTTCCTGTTAATCTTCCAACTCCAGTTAAAGAGAGAGTACTCATCTAGAGATATGATTCAGTTGCTTGATGGCCTTCCTCATCTCGTAACTCTGCGCGCACGGAGAAGCGAGAGGGCAGGTGCCTCCGAAGCCCTTGTCGTTCGAGACCTTGCTCGGGGGATCGGCAATTAGGTTTTTGGGGAGCGTCTACGCGAAATACCCACTAACCATGGGAGTTTCAACTTGAAGCCAGTCTGACTCCTGATCTCCCGGAGTCTCTCCACCTTCCCGTCCCGGTGCATTCCTCCGGGACCTCTCGGCTTTTCCTGTTAATCTTCTAACTCCAGTTAAAGAGAGAGTACTCATCCAGAGATACGATTCAGTTGCTTGATGGCCTTCCTCATCTCGTAACTCTGCGCGCACGGAGAAGCGAGAGGGCAGGTGCCTCCGAAGCCCTTGTCGTTCGAGACCTTGCTCGGGGGATCGGCAATTAGGTTTTTGGGGAGCATCTACGCGACTGCCCGAAGAGTCTCCATCTCCGTACGCCTACATCGTCTTCTTCCCGATCGCCGGCGTCATCATCTTCTTCCTGGAGGAGGAAACACCTTCTTCTTCTACGGCATGACAAGGGACGTTGCTGGAACTTCAGAATCGCGGATGGGAGGGTATGATTGTTTCATCATCTTTCTGTTTTATGTTCTACATGTTTCAGCAGTTCATCAGTTTGCTTCATATCTTATATCTATTCATGCTAGAAATATGCTCTGCATATGTGTTTCCTTCTTACAGTTCTATTGTACCGTATATAGCTTTATGCTTGTTGCAGATATGAGATGTATATCATGCCATCTGTTTCTCTCTGTTATTCATGAATCAAGTTCTCATGCTTTTGATCTTTATAAGTTTCACATGATATATGATCTAGCATGTATTTTCACCATGGATATAATCGATATCATGATTACAATGATTAATAATTGTTTATATGTCATCATCATGCTGTTGATTTATGGAATTAAAATGACATGGAAATTGCCTATTATCCTAACAATCCAAAAACCTAATATTAGGCATTTTTCTGTTAGAGGTTTTGCTGCCGTGTTAAAGCCTGATCCTTTTGATGGTAAAAACTTCTTGGTTTGGAAAGCTAAGATGGAATTGTGGCTCACTGCAATGTCATGTTATCATGTCTTTGAGGGCAAACCTGCTAACTTGTCTCCTGAGGATGAGGCTAAGTTTAAGGCTGATGACAACCTCTTTCGAGGTGCAGTGATTAGCGCACTTGATCCAAAATTCCAGAAAAACTATATCATCCTTCCTACAGGGAAAGAGCTGTGGGATGCACTTGTTGGAAAGTTTGGAGTTACCGATGCTAGTAGCGAGCTGTAACTCATGGAGCAGCTGTATGACTATAAGATGGTTGAGAACCGATCTGTAGTGGAACAGGCTCATGAGATTCAGGCACTAGCTAAGGAACTTGAGCTCTTTCCATGTGTCTTACCTGACAAGTTTGTGGCTGGCGGTATAATCGCCAAGTTACCACCTTCTTGGAAGGAATTTGCTACCTCACTCAAACATAAGAGACAGGAGTTCAATGTGGAAGAGCTCATTGGTACTCTTGATGTTGAGGAGAGAGCGAGAGCAAAAGACAATGGAAAGAGCGTTGAGACCTCTACTGCTAATGTGGTGCAGAAGAGAAACTCTGGATTCCGCAAGTTTAACAAGAAGAAGAAAAACCAGAATAAGCAAGAGAACACAACTAAGCCTGTTCAAACAGCACAGTTTAAAAAGAAGAACAACAACAAGAGAGATGGAGGCTACTTTGTTTGTGGCAGTGAACAGCACTGGGCAAGTGAGTGCCCTGAGCGCAAGTTCAAGCAGGAAAAAAAATCAGCAAATGTTGTCACTACTAATACTGGAGAAGGAGCATCTGGATATGGTAATTCTTTACCATTTGTTCTTTCAGTATGTAATTCACCTGAGTGGTGGATGGATAGTGGTGCAAATATACATGTGTGTGCTGATGTTTCTCTGTTTTCTTCCTACCAGGTCGAGAGGTCTGGCGCCTTGTTGATGGGAAATGGGTCGCGTGCTCATGTTCTTGGTGTTGGTACAGTCACTCTGAAGTTTACTTCGGGAAAGACGGTGCCATTGAAGAGCGTGCAGCATGTGCCATCAAGAAGAATCTTGTTAGTGCATCTATGCTATGTCGAGATGGCTACAAAATTGTTCTAGAGTCGAATAAATGTGTTGTGTCGAAACATGGTTCCTTTGTTGGTAAAGGATATGATTGCGGAGGCTTGTTCCGCTTATCACTGCATGATGTGTGTAATAAAATGGTGAATTATGTTAATATTTCTGATGAGTCGGATTTATGGCATTCATGTTTCTGTCATGCAAGTTTTGGCTGTCTTATGCGGTTAGCAAATCTAAATTTAATTCCTAAATTCAATTTGGTCAAAAAGTCTAAGTGCCATGTATGTGTTGAATCAAAACAACCCCGCAAGCCTCACAAGGCTGCTGAGGCGAGGAATTTAGCACCTCTAGAACTTGTCCATTCTAATTTGTGCGAAATGAATGGAATTTTGACTAAAGGCGGTAAAAGATACTTCATCACTTTTATAGATGACTCCACCAGGTTTTGCTATGTGTATCTCTTAAAAATAAAAGATGAAGCGTTTAATTATTTTAAGACCTATAAAGCTGAAGTTGAGAATCAACTTGAGAGGAAAATAAAGCGGTTAAGGTCCGATCGAGGTGGAGAATATTTCTCTAATGTTTTCGATGAGTTCTGTGTGGAACATGGTATTGTTCATGAGAGGACACCGCCATTCTCACCACAATCCAATGGGATTGCTTGAAAGGAAAAAACCGCACTCTACAGAGTTAGTGAATTCCAT